AGAAAATGGAGTTGGTGGTTCCCCTCTCCCGGAGGCTGATGTGCGCTGCCTGAGTCAGCGCTGCCCGGGGGCCCCGGAGAGGCTGCCGTTCTCAATGCTAAGCCCCCCAAAAGAGTGTATTCCTCTTACCCCAGAACCCATCTCGGGCCCTGCCTTGGATCCGAGAATGGAGACGCCGCGCGTCTCTAGGTCCTCTGTGGCTGACGCTCCCTGAAGTCTGAGAGCTCGTACCTCATGCAGAGCGCTGCGCGGACCTCGGCTGGGAGAACTTGGTCCGCGTGGCTCTCTGAGAACCTCTGTCTGCCCAGGCTCGGCCTGGGGTGAGGTAATTCTGTGCGTGAGAGTGAAAATGTCTTTCTCCACGCAGAGAGGGAAAGACCGCCTTTAATTAAAGTGGCAGTGAACTTGCAATTATTCAGAGGTAATTACAGAGCTTGTGAATCATGTAGGACATTGGGTGCTTCCTAAAAATCCCCTCCTTTAAAAACCGGCGTCCACCTGCGAGGTGCTGGCACTTTGGTTTGGAAACAGTGCTGCACTGTAGGCTGAGCAGAAGGCTCACTCGTCGTGTGAGTCGTGTGCATGTTTTTCTTTTATGTTTCCCCGTTGCAAGATGAAACCAAGAGAAGGAAAACTGAAAAACTTTGCCTGGGAACTTGTAATAAACTGTTCTCCGAGCCAGCGTGGCAGACCTGTGGCACGCATGCGCAGTAGGCTGTTTCTAGCATTGAAAGCTCTGAAAGGTTCGCCATCACTGCTCCCAGCAGTTACAGACTTGCAGCAAGGGAAGAGGGAGGCAGACCAGAAGTCTCCGTGCAGCTGGCTGAAGCCTGGTGGTCCAAGGAGGCGAGCAGGGCCCGGCCTCACGGGCTTCCTGTGTGCTTCCAGCCCTCGGGCAGAGGGACTCACTCTGCCTGGGAGCCCTGCGTGGACAGGGCGGGGTGCACAAAGGCGGGGCCTCGTTGACCCACCCGAACAGCAACCTTCACGCTCACCTTGCCACTTACAAGGTTTTCAGTTGTAGAATGATGATGAGTTACAGAAAAAGTAAACAAGTTCTTCTGAAGGTTCGTATCGTATTACATGTCCGCCAGTACAGTGTTGGTGTGGGTGTTTAATATTTTTAAACAAATCAAGGTAATCCTTAATTAAGGAGAATCCTTCGTTGAATAGAATTTTTTAAGTGGGAGGCCTCTGGATTTTAGAGTCACATAGTCCTAAACCACTGTTAGGACTTTTTCCTGTGTGGTGTTTAGTTTGTTTGTTTTGAGACAAGGTCTGGCCAGGTAGCCCAGGCTGGCCTTGAACTTGCTGTGTAGTCCAGACTAGCCTCATACTCAAAATCTCCCTGCCTCAGCCTACTGTTAGGAACTGTATAAAGGAATGGCTTATTTTCCCCCCACCACGTTATTTCCAAGTCAGTTTTTATTATTTTGGAATAAAAATCCACAAGCCTGGTGGAACCTTGTCATGGCTGATACATTATGTCACCTTGGGGAGTCTAGAGGTTTGGCTAAGTGACTCAGCAGGGAGACATACTACTTTGTATACATCCCAAGCCTGTGGGAGAGAAGGCGTGGAGATTATGTGAGAGCTACACGCCCCTTAGGTAGGGGTAGTCTGTTTACAATATAAGGGAGGGAAGGAGGCTGCTTGCCGCCATTCCTCCCTTTTTCTGTTGCTTTGTTGTGTTCTGCCACCATGAACACCTGCCCTCTGCCAGGTGCCACTCTGCCTTGCACCAGCCCAGTATGGACTGAAACCTGCACAAGCTGTGAGCTAAATAAACCTTCCCTTCCTTAGTTTTGAGCGTCAGGTATTTTGTCCCAGCAGCGAGAGAAAAGTAACCAAGACAGGCCTCATTGGTGCTGAGAGGAGGCTGACCCAGGGCTGAGCTGGTCTGTTTAGAGATACTTCAGACATTTGCAGCCAGTGTGACTTTGTGTTAGGAAACAGTGTGCAGCTGGTGGCAAAGCGAAGCCCCTGAGCGAAGCCCCTGAGCGGAGCCCCTGAGCGGACTGTCAGTCGAGGCGCCGCTGTCCACACCCGGGTGTTAAGGCCTGTACTAGAATTACTGTTCGGTTTCCTTTTCGAGGACAAAGGCAGGGATTGTTCAGAAGTGGCTGGAATTCTGCTTTAGAACTCGGAGCCGGAGGCGGTGGGCGCTGGGCGCGAGGGAAGCTGTGGGTCCGGTGCTGTGGCTGCAGCATTGGGGTAGAGGGAGCTGGCTTGGTGGGGAGTCAGCTGAGCAGCAGCCGGCGCCCAGCCTGTCCCGCTCCAGCCAGGTGTGCAGCAGGGAGCGCAGGTCACAGGGCTGAGCCGCAGGCTGCGCCCCGCCCTGCCTGCCGGTGGGCCCAGAGCGGCTAACAGCAAGTTTAAGGCAGAAAAGTTATTTCCTGATCAGCTGTCTTCTGTGGCTTCTGGGATTGCAGGCTAATAATGGTTTTATGGCCTTTTGAATCAATAAGAAGAATAAGCAAAATCGCTCAGTAACTGAAAAGAACTCCTGAGTGGCCATCAGCTGCTGCCAACCGGAAGTTAAGGCTGCGCATCAGCAGCCCAGGGCACGCAGACTGTTAGAGAGGACGGCCGCCAGGCTGCAGTTCAGTGTCTCCTCCATTTCAGTATCTTCACTAACGGGCGTGGCCACGGCGCGTGCCTGTAGTCCCAGCACTCAGAAAGCTGAGGCAGGAGGAGCACCGCGAGTTCCAGGCCAGCCTGGGCTGCCTAGTGAACCACAGCCAACCTGGACTACACAGCGAGACCCTGTCTCAAACAAACAAGCAAACATTAAAAACAAATACATTCACTAATATCAATGGTTACCCCTGTGGTTATGATTCTGGTATCTGTCATCTCAGAGGTGATCTAAGCACATGGTCCCTGACAGAATCCTGTCTAAAACAAAAAGAGCCCCCCTCACAACCCTGCCTGCTGTTAGACTGAAAGGCAGTGGAAAAAGCAGATCATCTTAAAGATGGTTATAATTTTTGTTTTTTAGGGTTTTTCTTTTTTTTTTTTTGAGACAGTGTCTCACTTTGAAATTCAGGCTGTCCTTGAAGTCACTATGTAGCCCACACGGGCCTCAAACTCACAGCGATCCTCCTGCCTCAGCCTCTTGGGTGCTAGGATTATAGGCATGCATCACCATACCTGATAGTGTTATAGTTATAATGTTTAAAATACTGTTTTTCACCCTGTCTTTCAAAGGCAAATCTAAGATAAGAGTTGCTACAAGTAAGTTTATAAAAATACACTATAAACATTGTGGCTGTTTTTTATTTTGAAATATGTAGAAGAAATAAAAATATCACAAGATAAGCTTCTACGCAAAATACCAGTGCCAGAGCTCAGTGTGAGAGGGTCTGTGCTGATGACGTTCACATGCTAGCGGGCAGGGAGGAGGAGAGGCGAGCGGCTGGTGTGTGAGCCTGGCGCTTGGACTTGGATTTGAGGAAGCCCTTCGGTGGGTGACATTGGCCTGACTCCGGAGAGGTGCTGAGCGCTGGGAGTGGGTGTGGGAGGCAGCAGACGTGGATGTGAATGGAATTAAGGCACCAGAGTCCGGCCTGGCGCAGGGGAGGGTGGGCAAAGGTGTTCACAGGGCCCTGCTGCTGCCCAGGTCAGCTGTGCCTGGACAGTTGCTTACTGTTTATTACGGGCGTCCTGGTCAGGAAGCAAGGGGCTTCCCGCCAGGCCTTGCTTGTGCCGGGCTGAGCGGGTGCCAGGTCCATGATGCATGTGTGAGGATGGCCTGCCCGGCCCCGCGAGGCCAGGTGTGAGCAGATCCGTGCCAGGCTGGGGGATGTCATTACCAAAGAAGGATCTCAAGTGTATTCTGCAGTAGTCCGTAGCTCCAGAGGCTTGTTCGCTCAGGCGTGGACGGTGATGAGAGATCTGGTGATGAGAGATCTCGCGCAGGGAGGCGGCTTTTCACAGGAAGTCAGAGAAATACAAGAGTGAGTGCCAGGAGGGTGCTGGCAGGCCTCCGGCACCAGGGCTAGGCTGGCGATGGCGTCTGTAGCCACAGTGAGGAAGCGTTTTCCTGTTCGTTCGAGTAGCACTGGAAGGAGGGTTCACTGGAGTCCCTAGAAGCAGGTCTGTGAAGACAAGGACTTCTTACATTCTTGTTTTCTTACCGTTCTCTGTCCCCTGTGAGGGTCTGCAGGGAGCAGCCGGCTGCTGACTTGTAGCAGAGCCGAAGTCACCTTGCCCAGACCCCGTCTCTGGGGCTTGTTCCTCGGAGAATGTGTTTAATGCCTTGGTGTCAGGGCTGACAGCCGAGGAGACGTTCTCCTGCGGTGGAAGTAGGGCAGTCAGATGGTGAGACGCCGTCGGCAGGGAGAGCTGACGTCTATAATTGGACCTTCTCATCCTTGACATTTGAAATGAGAAGTAAAAATCATCTTTCTGGATTTACGTGCCAGGGCACTCCCGGTAGAGTAGGTTGGGAATAAAGTAAGTACTGTTTTGGGTGCCTGGTAATCTTTTAATTATGAAATAAGCTTTTTGATACTAATCTTTGAAAATGTATGATACCGATCCAGGGAAACAGCCTTTCTGAATTTCACATCCTGCCGTCTCCATCAGATGCATTGTTTCCACCTCTACCCTATATCGTGCAATCTTCCTTTTGTGTCAGTTCCACAGCCTGTAAAAGTTCGCGTTGGACCCGGTCCTGACCCGGTCTGGGACAGAGCTGAAGCCCAGAGCGAAGGCCTGAGTTTCAGGAGCCCGGGCCCCAGGCTGGAAGGTCAGAGCCAGCTGACCAAAGCCTTGGTCTGGAACAGTCAGGGGACTTGGTCTCTTCGCCGTGTGTGTGTGTATATGTGTGTGTGTGTGTGTGTATGTGTGTGCGTGCGCACTTACAGGACTTCATGTGACATCCCTGCCATCGCTGCTTCTACAACTACCCTCACCTCCCCCTGCACATCGCACACGCTCGGCAAAGCCGGGGCACTGATAGATGCTGTTTTGTTCTTTTGCGGCCTCTGAAACAGCTTGTACAATGAAGACAGAAACTTGCTTCGCGTTAGAGAGAAGGAAAGACGCAACCAGGAAGCTCACCGAGAGCAGCAGGAGTTTCCGGAACAGATGCCCCTCTTTGGAGAGCCCTACAAGGTGCGTACCGTGTACTCGCCGGCCCAGCACCGGTCTCCTGCAGTGCCAAGCCCTGATAAAACCATGGCCCCAAGGAGTCGAGGGGCACAACCAGGAGAAGAGCTCACCCTCAAGAGTGCTTTTGAAACCGATCTGAAAACTCTTTGAATATTGTCAGGCTTACTCAAGTTGGTGGTTTTCTTCTGTAACTCGAGTCTATAATTAGTAACGTGTGTCTGCGACAGGCTCCTCAACTGGGAAATGGGTTGGAACTCCGCCCTGGTAGGTTCTGCAGGTCACCTTGAAATCCAGCCTTTTATTCCCTAGTGGCAGTGCGCACAGATTGCTAACGGGTTCTCCTCAGACGTTTTTTATGTAGTGCCTGACTCCATTGCCTTTTCGGTTCCCCAGACGGCGAAGGGCGATGAGCTGTCCAGCCGCTTGCAGAACATGCTGGGGAACTACGAGGAGATGAAGGAGTTCCTGAGCATCACTTCCTGTTCTCAGTGCCCGGATGCTGCGGACAATCGGCTGGGGAAGCCAAGATACCCTTTGTTTCCCGAGCGGGTCGGCGGCACCCCATCTAGCCCCTTTCAGGCTGGAGTTCACCACCAGCCCCCGCACGCCCCCGCCCCCAGGCCCCTGCCCATGGGCAGCAGCAGCCACCATCCAAAGATGGTGCAGCCCAGAAAGGACCCCATGCCAGGCCCCCGCACCAAGGGCTGTGGCCCGCCAGACGCACAGCCCCTGACTCGGGACCGCCTCGGGCAGGAGGGCTCCAGCTCCGGTCAGCACAAAAGAGGGGACCGCAGGCCCGACAGAGACCCCTGTGCCCCGGGGACAGGCGCCACGCCAGCCAGCGAGCTGTCTCCCTTCCTCTCTTCTCTGCCCTCCCCGGTACCGCCCCTGTCGCCCATACATTCCTCCCAGCTGGCTCCCCCTGGGGCGCAGGGAGGCTGCAAGGCGCAGGGCGCTGGCAGCGGTGCTAAAGGCTGCTGCCCAGCCAGGTCTCCCAAGGACCCGGCGGCGAAGGCCCGTGACAAGGAGGCCGCCCCAGACAGCACGGCAGCCGTGGCCAGCCTTGGGGTCGGCCTCCAGCCGCCACCTCAGACATTTCCACCTCCCCCGCTGCCCTCCAAAAGCGGGGCCCTGCAGCAGAAGCCCACGGCCTATGTGCGGCCCATGGATGGGCAGGATCAGGCCCCCAGCGAGTCTCCCGAGCTGAAGCCACAGAGCTTCGAGAGGGGGGGCTCGAAGGTGCCCTCCGAGGCCCGGCTCGCCAAGCTGAAGATGCCGCCCCTGCCTGCGGAGGTGAGTGAGCTCTCGCCTGGGCAGCCCCAGTACAGATACTGGAAGATGGGTCTCTGGGGGTGGGGGTGGGGTGGGGCGTTTCCTTGGGCTTAGGAACTTTTGGGGTAGGTTGTTTTTTCGTTTGTTTGGTTTTGTGGTAGGGGGAGTTGTTTTTTGAGGCAGGGTGTTGCTATACAATTCAGGTTGGCCTTGAACTCACCGTGTAGCCCAGGATGGCCTTGAACTCGAGGCAGTCCTCCTGCCTCAGCCTCCCAGGTGCTGGAATTACAGGCATGTGCCACCTTGCCTGCTTTGGGAATTTGTTAACCTATGAAAAACTCAGGTCTGAGGTGGATTACCGATGTTAGATGTGGAAATGCAGTTTGTGGAAAGATTTAAAAACGTTTTATCCCTCTGTTTTAACACCCAGTAAAACAGAGATCCAGAGAGTACAGTTTGTGTTTATACCTTTTGCCTACAATCACATCAAGAGAGGGAACATTTTCTAGTCCCACAAAGTTCCCGGAAGGTTTTGGCTTTTTTGTTTATTTGGTGGACTTCTTTATCAAAGTGAAGAAAACCTATTTTGGCTGATACTTCCTCAGCCTCAGTGAGTCCTAAGCCATAAAAAAGTAAAATGAAGGTGTGAAAATATTGAAGACAAAACCGTTTTTTTTTTTTTTTTGTACTGGGAATCGAACTCAGGACATTGTGCTTGCTGGGCAGGCGCTGTGCCCCTGAGCTATATCCCCAGCTGAAAACCTTTAATTTTTAAAGAGTTGTTCCCCATGAATTGTAAAGAACTTCAAAACTAAAGTTCTGTTTTAATATTTTTTATTTACTACTTGAAAAAGAAGAGTGGGTGTGTGGTGACATCTTGTCTGACAGTGAGTCACAAGTACCATACAGAATGTTACTCAACTGTGGGGTTGTTTTCTTCTTTTTAACTGTGGGGTTTAAAAGTAACAAAAACATTGTATTTTTTAAACCAAGAAAGTGTTCCTTTTAAGTGGCAGTGGACATTTGAAAGAAGAGAAGCAGAACTCATAGCCTTGAGTGCTCAAGTTTCAAGGTGGTCTCCATTACTAGTAGTAAAACTGCAGAATGAAATGTTTGAATGTAATTTAGTTGATCTTTTGGTGTTTTGAGATAGGATCTCACTGTATAGTCCAGTCCGGTCTTGAACTCATGTAGCCAGTTCTGATCTTGAACTCACAGCAGTCCTCCTGCCTCAGCCCCCTGACTGCTAAGATGATAGGTAGAAGTGAACTTCGAGTGTGCTTGTTAATATAAGGTCTGTAATTTAGTTAGCTCTGTTATGTAAACATTCTGTTTTGCATAGCCAGTGCTCGAAGACATTTGTATTGCCTGGGTTTTACTGAACACCAGAAGGTAAAGTACCTGAAGGTTAATAAAGACTGCCGACAGAACCTTAGCTGGAAGGAGAACACGGCTGTTCAGCGGGGAGACTCTGCCCCTCCATGGTGTCCGCCTGGATCTGGAAGAGGGGGCCTGGGGTTTTCGCCTCAGCTTGTGCGCTGTGTGTGTCCCTGGATGGCTGCTGCGTGTGACTTTGGTTTGAGGGTCTGAGGAAGGAGGAGAAAGGCGAAGTAAAGTAGGCGGAATGGTGGAGCTGACCGTGATGGCAGAGCCAGGCACTGCCCCCATCCCTTGTGGATGACAATGTGTGCGGACCCCAAGGACGGGAGGGCAGCAGGGGTGTGTGCCTGGACACGGGTGCTAGACCCAGGATTTTATTGAAAAAGGGGACTGGGCAGAGACAGGAATGACAAGCTACGCTGAATTAGAATGTTCTTGTTTCAAAGTTGCGCACACGGCCCTTTCTTCGTGTGTATAAGGTCTAAGAGGAACTCACTGACTTGCTGAAAGGGGTCGCTGGTGCCCCAGCTAGAGCCAGAACCCCATCCTTGGTCTTTCTGCTTGGATGTGTGTCCTGCAGTGCCTTTGGCTCCAGAGGTGGCGGTGGGCTGTACATTGTCACTGTTTTTGGTTTTTGCAGTTCTGGGGATCAGACCCTGGGCCTTGGTGCCCGCGGAGTGCCACACCCCTGAGCAGCACGCCCAGCTGCAGTGTGTGTAGTTTTGACCAGCAGAGTTGGATTTTGTCTCCTAGATTGAGCCTAAGGTAGAGCCTTGGCGATGGTAGTGTCGTTTTCTTAACCCCACAGCTTTTCTCTTACGCTTATTCTTTCCCACTGGTGTGAACCCCGTGGTGTGCCCAGCACTCTGAGAGGCCTGGGTTGTGTAGCTGAGATCAGGGTAGCCAGGGTCAGTCTCTTGGACCCTGTGTTTCTATGGGGGGTTGAGATAATGGATCTGTGCACCAATGTTATGTCTCTACCGAGAGTGCTGCAGAAGGAGCAGAGGTGCTGAGAGGGAAGGAGCAGAGGAGCCACTTTGAGGGCAGCCGCACTGTCCTCTCCGGCGTGACCTTCCCAGGGATGTGCACGGGAACTCGAGTCAGCCGTGCAGGCAGGAGAGGCGTTCATTTCAGGCCAAGAAACAGGAAGTGGGAAGTCTGGGCTTGGGGAAGTAGAAGAGAGGGGAGCGTGGCTGGACATGGAGAGGAGGAGGTGCCAGGTGAGAGCAGGCAGCCGAGTGCAGCCGCCAGGTGTGGCCCAGGCGTAAGGGAGGCTCTGAGCTGGGGAGTGACCGGTCTGTAGTCTCCTTGGAAAGCGATCGCTGGCCCCTGGGTGGAGAACGGGTTGGCAGAGCAAAGCCAAAGTCAGGGAGACCAGCTAGCCGGTGTGAGAGAGGCGCCAGGGAATCGACAGGGCTCTGTGATGGATCGCAGGGGGTGTGGCTGGAGGTCAGGTGCGGCGAGGTATCCGTGAGGCCGGCAGCTTTCACATGAAAGGTGGTAGTGGTGCGATGCTGCCAGCCACTGAGGTGGGGACCAGCTCGAAAACCATGAGGTCTGATGGAGGAAGTTGAGATGCGGCTACATCTGGGTAGCCACAGCACTCTGGTGGGCATGTGTACACGTCCAGCCCCGGGGAGACGTCCAGACTGGAAATAAAGCATCTGGGGTTTGTTTTTATATTGTAGATATTAAAGCAGTGCCAGCGGGACCTCACGGCAGGCGGGGGCATGCTGTTCCCCGTCCAGATGAATCTGCCTCTGATGGTGGCTGACTTCGCTAGGGAGGTTGCTCTTTCCCTCGTGGAGTCACCTGATACCGAGCCGGGTGACTTCCCTCAGTGCCGCCACGCCTCGGGGTCCTGGCTGGGCACCTCGTCTCGCTGTGGCCTGCAGTTCAGCATTCATTTTCTGTGAGCCGTCTACCAACACCGTGCGGATCCCCGGTGGGAAATCGTGTGACCGTGTGGTGACTCACGTGGCCTCTGTGTGTGCAACACATTCTTTCCTAGTTCCCTGTTTAGCGCTCCTGTTAGTGCAAGCCTCAGGAAGAGGGACTTCCTGTTATGAAATGATCCGTTGCCCTCCAGCCACTCTGTTTTGGGTGTGTGGAGACAGTGATGTCCTGCGGTGCCCACTTAGAAACCAGCCGCTTGCCCCCATGGGCACCCGGTCACTTCAGCAACTTCTAGCCCAGCGCGGCACCCCCGCCTCCCGCCAGGCCTCCGCTGCTGCTGGACCCAAACTCTCCTGCTGGGGATGAGCGTTATTCCAGTAGCTCTCCGTCAGTATGTGCACGTGTGCGGTTTGACAGGTGCCGGCTGGGGCACCGGGAACCAGGGCCTGTGACTTAGATACATGGAGCTCAGGGAGGCAGCACGTCCTGTGGGTGGGGTGAGGCCGTGTGAAACAGCTCTGGTGTCCTAGGCAGGGGGACAGCAAATGCCAGCGGCTGCTTAGAGATGGTTCACGATGTCCTGAGTCATAACCCAGGACTGCAGATTCCAGCGATTTTCGTTCATTCATTCTGAAACTCATCTATACAGGAGAATCAGCTGAGGAAGCCTGTGAGAAATATGCAGTGGTCTTTGTTGTCGTTATTTGTTTTTTAACCGTGGTACTGATTGGACCCAGGGCTTTTGCACTGAACTACAGTACCTGCACCCCCAAGGTCTTGCTAAATTGCTAGAATGCCCAGCATGAGCTGGAATTTGCAACCCTCCTGATTTAGCCTTCCAGAGTACTGGGATTACAAGGTGCACCACCACACCTGGCTAGAAATATATATTGTTTAAAAAAAATTCCCAGACCCTGTCCTAGGTAGGTTGAAGGATTTGTGTCTGTGATTCTCATGAAATTTGTTCTCATAGCCTAGAAATACAGACTGTCCCAGGAGAGCAAAGCTAGGTAATTAGGTGCTTCCCTCCCACACCATAACGAGTACCCCCACGGGGTCCCTCAGGGGTGGAAGGATGGTGCCGGGCAGACGAATGGGTGAGACAGACTCCCATGTCCTCCGCTTTCTCCAGAGCTTGTGTTTTCTTCCAGCTTCCAGCTTTTATAAAGTTTCTGTATAAAGTAAAAGATTCTAATATAATCTTATTTAGCTTTTCAGGATGTTTGTTAGACAATACTTTCATTGCGGTAACTTACACATGGAACACATGTAATCTGAAAGCCTGAAATTTTCCAAAGTCAGAATTGTTGAGCACCAGCCTGACGGCACAAGCAAATTCTACACCTCACTTCCCTTGACCGCTGGTTGCAATCCAAAGGCAGGTGCCCCAGAAGTATGTGAAGTTAACCTTCAGGGGATGCGTAGGAGGTGTACACGTATGAAGCAAACAAATTTCACGCTTGGACTTGAGTCCTACCCCCGAATAACCTCATTATGCACATGCAAATATCCCAAACCCCAGAGACTCAAAACAGGACTGGTTCTGACCACTTTGGATGAGGGATACTGAGCCTGTGCAGCTGCATTAGCTTTGGTTCTACGAGGCACAGCTCCGCCAGCTTGGGTACCTGCGTAGCCCGTGCATTGGCCTGGGGAGCTGGGGGGCCCAGGTGGAGCTGCCTGTGTGCGGAATTCCCCAACGACCAGGGAGGCGGGGAGCAGACAGCTCCCGAATAACACCCAGT